AAAAAAGAGAGAGTTTGTACCTCGGGTTCCTTTTTGTTAAAAGCTTTTGTAGCACTGTAAATATGACATTTTTAATGTAATGGATACAAGAGTACAACACATTTAGGAGTTGCAATTAATAAGACTCATAAGAGAAGTGTAACATAGGTGTGATATGGTGTTATTGTGATACTTTTTGGATCTTATGTGTTTATTTTTTTTGTCGAAAATCATTTGAAATGTGTCAATCATTTTCGTATTTATGAAAAATTTAGCCAGCAAACACATCGAACCAGTCGTGTGGCTCACTAGTCGGGCCAAATTTTACCAACTTAGTTACATGAAACTATTCAGTGGCTCACTAGTCAGCCCATATTTTGTTAATTTAACCATTTGAACTTATTGATTTTACCTTTAAAAAATAAATTAAATAAAAGAGTAACCATAAAATAATTGAAAAATCATTAATAAACCCTCCTACAAAAAAATGATTAAAAAAAAAAAATCAACAAACAAGTAGCACCTAAATATAATTAAAATTATAAATAAATAATTCTCAAAAGTCAAAACATAGAAAACCAAATAAAACAAACTTGGCTTCACATTGTCATATAAAACAATAAAAAAGACCTTATTAAACAAAATCACCACCATTAAGGGTCAAGTTGACTGCTTAGACTTACGGAGGCCCATATTAGGTGATTTGAGGCTGAAATCTGATGCGGCCTAGGCCTGTGTGAATTAGGCCCTTGATCTTTAGTTCCTTCCAACTCTTTATGGGCTGGATATAAGTTTATGAAGATCTAGCCCAAAAAAGGGTATCGGAAGCTAGCCTGGGCCGTTGAGAAAATTTAAGTGGTCCGCATACAGTTCCACGGTAAGAGGCTCTGGGTGTAAACGAGCCGAGAGCTCGAGATCGATCCTTAACGAGATGAGTTTGACTCAAAATGTTAATTTGATATGCCGATAAACGAGTTTGAGTTCGATTTGTTAATTTAATATGCCGATAACCGAGTGGTCTAATCATAGACCTTTTCCTTGGGATAGCGAAAAACACAATACACAAACTTCATTTCCACTGGCAGCACTTTCGAAATCTAAACCTTACACCCCACACTTGGAAAACGGATAACATATACTAACAAGTAGTTAGCTACTATCTTGGATATCAGATAAACTATCCAAAACTTTATGGAGTTATGTAAATACAGATCAAAGGCTTCATGTATTAGGCACAAACTACTGTTTTTTCAGAAATGTAGCAGCAGGTGGATAAAGATAGATTCCATGAACAGGGACTGCGACTTGATAGATGAAACAAGAATGAACATATACGAGACAATGAGCTCTACTTAAGTTTTGTTTTACGGCTAACATATGATATTCTTCAAAACGTATTCAGTAAGTACTTATATATCCAATTTTCCCTTGTGCAAATATGTCTCTTCCTGGTTTTATATTTTAAAGATGTATCTTTTATGGTGCAAACGGGAAAAAAGAAAAAAAAAAAAAAAAAGAAAGAAGGTTTGTGTTTGCAGAAATTCTGTTTACAAAAAAAAATAATAAATAAATAAATAAATAAATAAATAAAGATGGTGGACAGACTAGACAAACTGCAAACACTAATAAATAGTGATTTCACCATAGAACATCAGTTATATTACATTCCAAGAACTTCCTTTGCCAACAACAATAATATTTTGGGCCTATGGCTTGTCAATGATGACACGTGAGCTCCCTAACACAAAGGAACCGAGTTTTGCTTTCGACACTGGAAAAAACCAAAAAAAAAAAGGGCGTCGGTTTATACAATGGCTGCTGATAAAACTAAGCATCTGCAAGTCGCGAGTTTCATTTATGGCTCCCTTAGCTGGTAAAGGCATAAAACCTTAAAAGAAGTACTCGAGTATTGATACTCTCAAGTTTGGATTTTGACATCGAACATACTCCTAGGTATCATCCCACACAGAAAGAAAGAGCATTCACTTGGCCTCGGACAGCCTTGTGCGTATCGCCTCAGGACTCGAGATTTTGTTAACACTGCAAAAGTAATTAGTAGCGATGACAAATGTGAGATAAAATGAATTCCAGTTATATTATGATTTATGACAGTGATCCTCTTATGCATCACAAGGACAGACTTACCATATAAGGAGATCCCCACTCGTTATCGACTTCTCGTAAATCCACTCAGGAACCAGTTCTTGTAGCAATGTAAGTTGCTCCTCAACCTCATCTGTTGTAATTACATTGCAGACTTAGGATCAAAGGTCACTTGCAAATATGGATAATGCTTGATTTTTTATTTATTTATTTATTTTTTTTTTCATGTGATGAAGGACAAGGCTTACTTCTATCAGTGACTTTCAAATCACCAGTCACGATTTTCTGGATAAGTTCCTCTTTAGTGACCACTGAACGACCCATTGATTGAAATAAGTAGTAGATTGTATCAAACCGCTTGGGCAAGCTAGCTATCATTTTCTGCCTCGATTTTGCTCGAGATATTGCTGGGTCCTGTTCGATTGCGGCTAGCCTCTCCTTCTCACGTATCTGTGAAAAGTAATCAAGCAGTTGAGCACTTGTAAGTACAAAAAATCGTTTGGAGAGAACTTGCATTTCTGAAGATAGCTGGTTATCTTTAAATCCTCGTTTAAAAAATGAAATGGAAAATATGTACCGATTGTACGAGAGCATCTGGGAGAATGTCCAAAATGTCATCACCACCATTTGATCTACTTTCGCTTCTATCAAGCTCAAGATTAACTTTCGAGTTCTTTACAGGGGTGTCGAACTTCAGAGGCCTATTTGGGGGTGGCCGCCTGATAAGTTTGCTTGGTGATCTACACGAGCTATCATCAGGGCTCATTTGACTTCTCTTTGGTGGACGGAGGGCAGGTGTGGCACTCCTCAGCTTAGCAGGAGTCGAGTTGGGGCCCACTGGTGTGCTTAGTACAGACACTGTCTCAACAGATTTCACACATTTGACCGGTGTTTCATGAAGGGGCGACTGGTTACTGTCTGAAGAAGCACTGCCTGAAGAGCAGTTTTCACTATGTGGAGAGTTAAGAGGTAATTTGGATTGAGAATTTGAAGAAAGTTGAAGACAATTTTCTTCCAACACCAGTGATTTGTCTTGCTTAGAAACTTCTATGCTATGGATGGAAGCTCTTTGTGAGAAGCGGGGTTTAAACGAAGGAGGCAGAAGTGATGATGCTAATAGTTGTCTTCCGAATAGTGGTGTCTCGGTAATTGAATTTGAAGTTGATGGTTGTACCGAATTTTCACTTGCATTTTTCTTCGGTCGACTAAAAGGTTCTGGCAGAGGTCCCTCTGGCACTTCTTCACCCTGGTTTAGATACAAGGATTTTTCAGCAGATTATCAATTTGAACAGGACATAATCAAAGAAAAAATAGTAAGTAAATAGTTATATGCTAAATCAACATGTATGAAATTATCTATACACTATTCTTGGTAAACAACAGCAAACTAACGCTTCAAGTTCATTCAAAATCAGATTAGCAGATTATGGAAACTGAAGAGATGCACACGGAAACAAACAGAGACGCGGGCTTCTATTTATTTAGGAGTTCCACCATCAACAAAGTATATGGAGAGGCAATTAGCCTTCCAAAACCAGATCAAATTCCAGAGTCAGTTATATATGAGCTTTTCAAAATTGCAAAAACTCCTAAAACTATCTTCTGTCATCCATCAATAACCATGATAGAATGGCAAAATCATCAAAATACAAAGTGTTCAGATAACACATGGCACAGCCAAATGAAGGAGTGTGAAAGTTATACCTCTGTATGAGACTTTAAAAAATCCAGAAGCCGGCTTCGGAAAACCTTCCTCAACCTCAAATTTCCGCTAAGAGATTGAGACGTGTTCTTGCTTTCGACTGCTTCAGCATTCAACGTGATGCGGAGGTCAGGTCTCATGCAGCTCGTGCGCTCGTCGTGCCGCAAGACTTTCTCCAACATAATTGCCTCAGGCATGATGAACTTCAATTGGGCTAAATGACTATATGTGAACCTCCTGGGAAAAGTACAAGGGAAAAACATTAACAAAAAATTGAAAACTATGAAAGAACCTATCAAATGCAAATGTTTAAGCAATCCATGGATATTACAGTCTGAATACAGTCTGAATCAAGATACCTGTCAGTTAAACTTTCTACTTGGGAACTAATATTAGCAAATATTGGGGCAGATCCCTTCAAGTGTAGTAGTCTGATTGAGCTATCCAAGCTGTTGAAGAATTTATCCAACAACTCATACCTGAAGCACAAACACTTAAGTATATCATTAGTCATTGCATATACGAGAAAACCGATCCTTCGAAAAACTGAAGACAAAACGAACAAAATCTTTACTGAAGATAAACCTTCAATGAGCTATTAAAAATGAACATGTTGTGGGAATTAAGCTATTTAACATCAAAATCAAATCTTGGACACCAAAATAGTATACACACTAGTATGATCAAACAAATCTTTCAAATAAATAAAAGTAAATTCTCGCACACAGACAGTATTCACAAACCCACTTACTTCTCAAGAAGCTTGATCTCTGACACAGAAGGCTTCTTCTTCGACTTAGCCACTGGCTCGACTTTGGATTCAACCACAGGCACAATCTCTTCAGACGGGTCGGATCTGCGTCCCCGGAGCTTCATGGCCGCCTCCCTGATTTCCTTGATGGACATGGCCGCGCCACGGTTGCGCAGCCGCCTCGGGGGATCCGCCGGCTTCCCGGGCGTTTGCACCCCCCATGGATTCGGGTCGGGCTCGGGAGCTCTCCGCGCCTTCGGATCCGACGGGGCGGGTGAATGCGGCTGTTTCTTCGACCTGAGCGAGTACGACGGCGGCGAATTGGCGGCATCCATGTCTGCACGGCAGCGCACAATCGGACGCGAAACTGATGGATTTTGGAGGTGAGAAATTGATGCATCCGAATGTAATCAACGTAGGGTTTTTTGTAGCCTCTGGTTTTTTGGCGGGGAAAGCGATATGGCGGGGCGTTCGCGCCAAATTTCTTCGCGGGTTAATCAAAGTGGTATTTATGTAATTTTCACAACTATTAGGACGATGATTTGGTTGGGATGGCAGACATATAAATGGGCCTTTGTTTGGGTCGTTCTGACATGAGTGAAGCCCATTTATGTTGAAGGTTTCGGCTTCTCAAAGGTTTTATTAGGCCATTTTTTTTATGGGGAGAAGGATGGAAAGGAAGAGAACAGTGATGATTATAGCAAAACTTATTTTATGTAAATCATGATTGCTGATTTATATATTTTTTTGTTATTATTCTTTATATATTTTTGTAGTATTAGGTTATATCTTTCTTTTAGTCAATTTGGGTATTTTTACATTTTTATGTATGTTTTGTTTTACTGTGAAATATCTTTTTTTTTTCATATTTTCTTTTTCTTTAAAATATGTTCCAAATTTTTGAACCTAAAACATTTGTAACTTTGACAAAACTTTTAAGAAGTTATTATATTCAAGAGAAAATTACTCCCCTTACACATCCTTTGCTAAATATTATTAAACTTACGAATTCTGTAACTTACCTTCAAAATTACGATTTTTTAATAAAATAAAGCAAGTGTGATATATACATGGAAGTTATTCTCTAGCATAATTGTAGGAATCGTCTCTTTCTCTCTCTCACCCTCTTCCTTTGTTAATCTCTCTTCTCTCTCCCTAAACTCTTTCTTTTTTTTCGTTCTTTAATCTCTCTCCCTCATCTCTTTCTTCTTTTTTTTTGTCTTTTCTCTTCCTTACGCTGCAAATCTGAGAGTTCTCGTCGTCTCTTGAAATCGCCCAAAATCCCAGACCTTAAATCGCCGAATAATCTAAGCCTCTCATCAAATCGAGAGTCGTCGATCTTTCTCAACTGGTGATTTCCATGAGCAACAGCGGCAATTTCCTTTTCTTTTCGTGATTTCCAGTAGCCGCTCGACACCACTATCCGCACGATATTAATTCGTGCAGCATAGTCGCCATCTTCTCTGCCATGAGTAGCAGCAGGTTCGAGTTTCAGATTCCTCGCATAGCCGTGAATGACCCATCGCCAACGCCGAGAGGCCATGGAGGTCGGGCTCATTCACTCGGCCCGAAGCCTCACCACCTTCACCTCCTCCATATCAGCCCCTAGACCCTCGAACAGCAGCGGCCTCCTCAATTAGCGACCTCCCGTCGGTTTCTATTCACAGCCCTTGCCGGCGTAGTAGAGAGCAGCCGACGACCTTTTTACAGCATCAGCCCTCATCGGTCCCTTCGGCGGGAAGGGCAGTGGCCTTTTCCCTTTTTCTGACGGGTCTCGCCATCAACTTCGAGCAGCCATTTCCCGACAAGTTCATTTCCGAGCAGCAACAACTCCATGTCGCCGTTTTCTTTTCAGCGAACATCTTATGTATAATTATACGGTTAATATTAGGGAACTGTCATATCATGTTTATCTGATGTATATATAGAGTATATCTGAACATATATTCAGAGTCATTCATAATAATGTATTATGTTTTATTCCGTAGTGTTGTTTACATGTTGTTTATTTTATGTATAACTATACGGTTAAATTATATGTTGTTTAAGTTACATATTAGTGGCATTATTTTTATTTTGGTGAGAGAAACAATTTTTTTTGAAAAGAGAAGCAAAACCATGGATTGGAGAGAGAAATGAAAATATTAATGATATTATTTTTATTTTGGTGAGAAAAACAAATTTGTTGGAAAATGAATCAACAAATTAGAGAGAAAAACAACTTTGTAATTATCATCGTAATTGTGAAAGTAAGACCTCTCTCAAATTTCTTTTTGATAAATATTTCTATTGATTGTATATGTGAAAATAACTCCTATATGGAGTTTAAGTATGTAAATTTCTCTATATTCAATCCCATTATATAACCCAATTTCATCCTCATATGCGATTTTGATGTTAATAATCTAGAACTCTAGATGTAGCTATAATTGAAAAAAGTGTAGAATGTCATCCCCATATTTAGATTTAGATGTTAATAATTTGAATGTAGCCAATTAACAATGAGTAACTAGGGTTGCAAACGAGTTGAGCCGAGTCGAACATTGGTCTTATCGAGCATGATTGTTTTTTTTTGCTGTTTGAGCTCGAGCTCGACTCAATAAAAAAATAATAGCTCGAGCTCGACTCGAAATCAAAATGCTCGAGCTCGGTTCGAGTTTGACTCGAAAAATTTTAAGTGGAAATGTAAAATTTCCATTAAGCACCTATGCAAATATACATAAGGGGTATTTTAATAATTTAACATGTATCTCGAGCCGCCAGGACAAATATGGGCTCGAGTCGAGCTTTGACTCAAGCACTCGCAAGCGGCTCGCGCCGCTCGGTTCGTTTGCAGCCCAATGTGTAACAACCATAACTATTGTGAA